TGGAAAAGAAGAAGTAAAACTCTTACTGTCTGCAGATAACCGGATCCTCTACATAGAAAACCCTAAAGACTCCACCAGAAAATTACTAGAACTAATCAGTGAATATAGTAAAGTCTCAGGATATAAAATTAACACACAGAAATACCTTGCATTCCTACACACTAACAATGAGAAACAGAAATTAAGGAAACAATTCCATTCACCATTGCAATGAACAGAATAAAATACTTAGGAATAAATCTACCTAAAGAGACAAAAGACCTATACATAGAAAACTATAAAACACTGATGAAAGAAATCAAAGATGACACAAATAGATGGAGAAATATACCATGTTCATGGATTGGAACAATCAATATAGTGAAAATGAGTATACTACCCAAAGCAATCTGTAGATTTAATGCAATACCTATCAAGCTACCAACAGTATTTTTCAGAGAACTAGAACAAATAATTTCACAATTTGTATGGAAATATAAAACACCTTGAATAGCCAAAGCAATCTTGAGAAAGAAGAATGGAACTGGAGGAATCAACCTGCTTGACTTCAGACTATACTACAAAGCAAGAGTCATCAAGACAGTATAGTACTGGCACAAAGACAGAAATATAGATCAATGGAACAAAATAGAAATCCCAGATATAAATCCACACACCTATGGACACCTTATCTTTGACAAAGCAGGCAAGAATATACAATGGAGAAAAGACAATCTCTTTAACAAGTGGTGTTGGGAAAACTGGTCAACCACTTGTAAAAGAATGAAACTAGAACACTTTCTAACACCATACACAAAAATAAACTCAAAATGGATTAAAGACCTAAATGTAAGACCAGAAACTATAAAACTCCTAGAGGAAAACACAGGCAAAAGACTCTCTGATGTAAATAATAGCAGGATCTTCTATGACCCACCTCCCAGAGTAATGGAAATAAAAGCAAAAATAAACAAATGGGACCTAATTAAACTTAAAAGCTTTTGCACAATGAAGGAAACTATAAGCAAGGTGAAAAGACGGCCTTCAGAATGGAAGAAAATAATAGCAAATGAAGCAACTGACAAAGAATTAATATCAAAAATATACAAGCAACTCCTGAAGCTCAATTCCGGAAAAATAAATGACCCAATCAAAAAATGGGCCAAAGACCTAAACAGACATTTCTCCAAAGAAGACATACAGATGGCTAACAAACACATGAAAACATGCTCAACGCCACTCATTATCAGAGAAATGCAAATCAAAACCACAATGAGGTACCATCTCATGCTGGTCAGAATGGCTGCTATCAAAATTCTACAAACAATAAATGCTGGAGAGGGTGTGGAGAAAAGGGAACACTTTTACACTGTTGGTGGGAATGCAAACTAGTACAGCCACTATAGAGAACAGTGTGGAGATTCCTTAAAAAACTGGAAATAGAACTGCCATACGACCTAGTAATCCCACTTCTGGGCATACACACCAAGGAAACCAGAATTGAAAGAGACATGTGTACCCCAATGTTCATCACAGCACTGTTTACAATAGCCAGGACATGGAAGCAACCTAGACATCCATCGGCAGACGAATGAATAAGAATGCTGTGGTACATATACAAAATGGAATATTACTCAGCTATTAAAAAGAATGCATTTGAATCAGTTCTAATGAGGTGAATGAAACTGGAGTCTATTATACAGAGTGAAGTAAGAAAAACACCGGTACAGTATATTAATGAATATATATGGAATTTAGAAAGATGGTGTAATGATGACCCTATAAGCAAGACAGCAAAAGAGACACAGATGTAAAGAATAGTCTTTTGGACTCTGTGGGAGAAAGCGAGGGTGGGGTGATCCGAGAGAATAGCATTGAAACATGTATATTATCATATGTGAAATAGATCAGCAGTCCAAGTTTGATGCATGAGACAGGGTGCTCAGGGCTGGTGTGACCCTGAGAGATGGGATGGGGAGGGAGGGTCTGGATGGGCAACACATGCACACACATGGCTGATTCATGTCAATGTATGGCAAAAACCATCACAATATTGTAAAGTAACTGGCCTCCAATTAAAATAAATTTTGAAAAAAGATACATGCATCCCAATGTTCACTGTAGCACTATTTATGAGAGCTGGGACATGGAAGCTAAATGTCCATTAACAGAGGGATAAATAAAGAAGATATGGCACATGTATACAATAAAATATTACTCAGCCATAAAAAGGAATGAAATTGTTCCATTTAGGGAGGTGGTTGGACCTAGATACTGTTATACAGAGTGAAATAAGTCAGAAAGAGAACAAATACTACATAATATCACTTATCTGTGGAATCTAGAAAAAAGGTACAGATGTGCTTGCTGGCAAAACAGAAATAGAGATACAGATGCAGAGAACAAACATATGGACACCAAGGCGGGGAAGGGAGAGTGGGATGGATTGGGAGATTGGGACTGACACTTATACACTATTCATACTATGTATGAAATAGATAACTAATAAGAACCCACTGTATAGCACAGGAAATGATACTCACTGCTCTGTGATGACCTAAATGGTAAGGAAATCTAAAAAGGAGATGTATGTATATGTACAGCTGGTTCACTTTGCTGTACAGCAAAACTAACACAGCATTACCGGAAAGCAACTATATTCCAATAAAATTAATCTAAAAAATAAATAAAATGTTTGAAACTGCCCTGGTCATACCTTGGACTAACTGGAACAGTAGACTACTTTCTCTACACTTCTGAGCTTCTTTTTTGACCCCATGGACTGGAGTCCACCAAGCTCCTCTGTCCATGGGATTTCCCAGGCAAGAATACTGGAGCGGGTAGCCATTTCCTTCTCCATGGGATCTTCTGGGACTAGGGATTGAACCTGCTTCTCCTGCATTGGCATGTGGATTCTTTACCACTGAGCCACCAAGGAAGCCCAAACGAGTCTAAGGCACTGATTACACCGTTTGGGAATTCTACATTTGTGAACTGAATTCACTCAAGTATTCTTTCTTCCCCTGTTTGCAAGGAATAAACAATGCTTATCATGTGTTAATGAAAAAGCTTACTCATCTATCTGAAAACGGTGAGATCCAGGAAGCCACAGACATGCAGTACCAGTGTTCTCTGAACTATATCTACTACGGCCTCACCATCAGTAACTGGAAGGCCCTCAATGCCACAGGAAGAAAGACTTAGTGGCTACTGGGTGAGCCAGACATCAGGCCAGTGGGATTTATACATTAATACATTATTCAGAATATCTAATTCTCAAAAGATGAAAAAGACACATTTCCTGCCCTTGAGGAGTCTGCAAGGAAGGACCTTACCCTCAACTAACTATATGAAAACAGACAGTGAAGAATCTTAACTGACATAAACTCGATGCTGGGTGAGTAGGGAGGCGAGTGATTCATTGTGACTAAGCAGACAAGTGAGTTGTTTCACTGAATCTTGAAGGATGAGGAAACAGAAGTAACCAAGAGGGGAAGGAGCTCTCCTGTTTAAGGAGCCTCCTTTAACAACAGGCAGAAGTAACAGCCTGTGGATGTCCACACTGGTGGGGATGTGCATGGCAGGCTTGTGGAAAGGTGATGATGTAGTTTGGGAATAGGGCATGAGAGAGGGGAGGGAGGAGATGGGATTGTAGGATGAGTGGGTGCTTTATCCTGCAGACCACAGGGAAACACTCACAGTGACTAGACATGGGTGTAAAACAAGCACTGATGGTGTATATAGTACAGGGAACTATATTCAGTATCTTGTAATAACCTACGATGGAAAAGAATTAGAAAAAAATATATACAATATCACCTATATGTGGATGCTTTCGAATTGGGGTGCTGGAGAAGACTCTTGAGAATCTCTAGGACAGCAAGGAGATCCAATAAGTCAATCCTAAAGGAAATCAATCCTGAATATCCATTGGAAGGATTGATGCTGAAGCTGAAGCTCCAATACTTTGGCCACCTGATGCAAAGAGTCACCTCATTGGAAAGACCCTGATGCTGGGAAAGGTTGAGGGCAGGAGGAGAAGGGGGCAGTAGAGGATAAGATGGTTGGATAGCATCACCAACTCAATGGATGTGAATTTGAACAAACTCTGAGAGATAATGAAGGACAGAGGAGCCTGGTGCGCTACAGTCCATGGAGTCACAAAGAATTGGACATGACTTAGTGACTGAACAAAAACAAATATGTAGAATCCAGAAAAGTGGTACAGATGAACTTATTTGCAAAACAGAAACAGAGACAGAAGCAGACAACAAATTTATGGACACCAAGTGGGGTGGAATGCATTGGGAAATTGGGATTGACATGTATGTATTATTGATGTGCTAAATCACTTCAGTCGTGTCTGACTCTTTACGACTCTATGGACTATAGCCCACCAGGCTCCTCTGATCATGGGATTCTCCAGGCAAGAATACTGGAGTGGGTTGCCATGCCCTCCTCCTGGAGATCTTCTCCACCCAGGGATCAAACCCACATCTCTTGTGTCTCCTTCATTGGCAGGTGGGTTCTCGACCACTAGCACCACCTGGGAAGCCCAACACTATGTATAAAATAGATAACTAATGAGAACCTACTGTCCAGCAAAAGGAAGTCTACTCAATGCTCTGTGGTGACGGGGAGGAAACCTAAAGAAGAGGGGATATTTCTATACATAGAGCTGATTCACTTTGCTGTACAGCAGAAACAAACATGAAATTGTTAATTGACTATACTTCAATTAAAAAAAACATGGGTGTGATGTGAGCAGAGCTCTTTGCAATAACTGGTGCATATCAAGATGGGCTGATGCAGACTCTCATTGAAGTGAGAACTCTGCTGCTCGCAGGTCACAGTCCCCTCTTTCTTCTCCCAGATTCAGCCTCATTTTCTCCCATAAGGTGAGAAGCAGAACCCGTGCTGAGGACACGGGAGATGGAAAAAGTCATCCAGACCACAGACTCTTGCTCGCTGCAATAGCAAGCCCTCCTTGGAGATTAAAAAGGCAGTGAGCTCCTTCTTACCTGGAGTCTTCCAATTGCCACCAGGCAGTATTTACTGCCTTGTCCCACATCGGCATCTTCTTCAGGTATAGTCATTCCTGAAATAAAAGATGCCAGAGTCAGCAACATGTCAGGGCGACTTGAAAAGAGGTACAGGTGTCCATGATTTTACTTACATGATTAAAAATGTAGATCTATTGTGGACCCTGCAGGGTCTAGGAAGTCAGTCAATGAATTAACCAGTCCTTTGCTCATTTCCTGCTCAGTTCTCTGCCTGATATCTTTTGATAATTTGTTTCTTTAAGACTTTTTCTGGTATGGACCATTTTAAAGTCTTTATTGTATCTGTTGCACTATTGCTTCTATTTTATGTTTTGTCCCTGAGGCACGCAGGATCTTTCACACAGGATCTTTTTTAGTTGAGGCATTCAAACTGCTTGTTGCAGCCTGTGGGATCTTAGCTCCCTGACCAGGGATCGAACCTGCACCTCTGGGACTGGAAGGTGAAGTCTTAACCACTAAACTACCAGAGAAGTCTCTCTTTTGATAATTTCATGGCACATTATCATCTGCATCTATGGAAGATGCTGAGGAACCGAAGGAAGATGAAACAAATTATTCATGTATACATTTGCAAAACTTAGCTAAAACACTTGGTTATACAGGAAAGTTGGGTAAGAAGTATATACAGACACTTCAAATTATGGAGTGGGTTGCCATTTTTTTCTTCAGGGGATCTTCCTGATCCAGCAAATGAACCTGCGTCTCTTGGATCTCCTGCACTGGAAGGCAGATTCTTTACCACTGAGCCAAGCTCCATCTCAGCCTGCATTAAAACTGAGGTCCAAAAGGGTCTGATATAATCCATTACATGCTTTGAGGCTTGAATGAGAGGATGGTGTGGAACCCCCCTCAGCCCAAGACCCAAATGTCAGCTTCTTTTTCACTCCCCTGACTTCACTCCCCAATTGCTGGTAGCAGGTATATTTGTGGGCTTCCTCAGTGGCTCAGTGGTAAAGAATCCACCTGCCAATTCAGGAGATGCAGGAGACACAGGTTCGATCCCCTGGGTTGGGAAGATGCCCTGGAGGAGAGCACAGCACGTCACTCCAATATTCTTGCTTAGGAAATACCATGGACAGAGGAGCCTGGTGGGCCACAGTCCATGGGGTTGCAAAGATTTGGACATGACTTAGGTGACTGAACATGCATGCACGGTGTATTTGTGGACAAAGAGAACAGTGGGTTCAGATACACCTTTGCCACACTAAGGATGAGGGTGCTATGCTACAGTCCAGAACAGGAAGCAGAAGAAACAGTGAGTGGTGGGAAGAACCCTTGAATCCAGTCAGGATGAAAAAAGTCCTGTTTTTCTGTTCTACCCTGTGGAAGGAGGGATTCTGCAGGGCGAGGCTGTCACTGGCTAACCCCTGAGACCATCTGCCTAGAGACACCACAGTTCACTTGTTGATTGCTTCTTCACCCCACCAGTGTTGAGAGCTTTCGTAGATTTTTAAAAGTAGTCACAAATGCTCTTTATGTGCCTTCTATCAAGACCTGAAGTTAGATTTCCTTGAGACTACTTTGATCAATGAAATAAGTGGAAGTGATGCTCTTTGGCTTCTAGACAATGAGCCCCAGACATTGTGGATCAGAGACAGGTCATCCATATTGCACCCTGTCTCTACCGCTAGCTCACAGAATCTGAGTATAATAAAATGGTGGTGGTTTTATCAACAAAATGCATGAGTGTGTGCTAAGTCACTTCAGTCGTGTCCTACTCTTTGCGACCCCATGAACTGTAGGCCACCAGACTCTGTCTATGGGATTCTCCAGGCAAGAATACTGGAGTGGGTTGCCATGCCCTCCTTCAGGGCATCTTCCCAATCCAGAGATCGAACCTGCATCTCTTACATCTCCTGCATTAGCGGGCAGGTACTTTACCACTAGTGCCACCTGGGAAGCCCTGATTTATCATCAAAATAAAATGTCTCAGTTAGAAGCTGCATCAGGAATTCTCCAGTGGTCCAGTTAAGACTCTGCCTTCCAGTGCAGGGAGCATGCGTTCAAGTCTCTGGCAAGGAACCAAGATCCCACATGCTACATGGTACAGTTGATAAATAAATAAATGTAATTATTTTAGAAATTAAAAAAAAAGAAGGTGCATCAGCCTAGAAGTGCAGAGGAGAAGACTTAATGGGAACCAAAGATACAAGTCCTTTAAGTGTTTAAAAAGTACATCATATATATATATATATACATATATATATATACATATTATAATATATATTATATTATAATGTGTATAAAGAGTACATTATGCTAAATGCTGGGCTGGACAAGCTGAAATCAAGATTATTGGGAGAAATATCAATAACGTCAGATATGCAAATGACACCACCCTTATGGCAGAAAGCAAAGAGGAACTAAATAGCCTCTGAGGAAAGTGAAAGAGGAGAGTGAAAAAGCTGACTTAAAACTTAACATTCAAAAATCAAAGATCATGGAATCTGGTCTCATCCCTTCATGGCAAATAGATGGGGAAACAATGAAAACAGTGACAGACTTTATTTTCTTGGGCTACAAAATCACTGAAGTTGGTGACCACAGCCATGAAATTAGAAGACGCTTGCTCCTTAGAAGAAAAACTATGACCAACCTAGATAGCATCTAAACCAACCTAGAAAATAGAGACATTACTTTGCTGACAAAGGTCTGTCTAGTCAAAGCTATGGTTTTTCCAGTAGTCATGTATGGATGTGAGAGTTGGATTATAAAGAAGGCTGAGTGCTGAAGAATTGATGCTTTTGAATTGTGGTGTTGGAGAAGACTCTTAATCCCTTGGACTGCAAGGAGATCAAACCAGTCAATCCTAAAGGAAATCAGTCCTGAATATTCATTGGAAGGACTGATGCTGAAGCTGAAGCTCCAATACTTGGGCCACCTGATGGGAAGAACTGATTCACTGGAAAAGACTCTGATGCTGGGAAAGACTGAAGGCAGGAGGAGAAGGGGATGGACAGAGGATGAGATGGTTGGATGGCATCACTGATTTGATGGACATGAGTTTGAGCAAGCTCCGGGAGTTGGTGATGGACAGGGAAGCCTGGCGTGCTATAGCCCTTGGGGTCACAAAAAGTTAGACATGACTGAGTGACTGGACTGAACTGAAGTGTATAAATAGGCTCCTTTGTAAGAATGCATTTTAATACACCAGCTAAAATTATGTTACCATACTTTGGCTTTGTAGAAATGAAGAGGAAAGTTGTAACTTATTAAATAAATAGTTTTGGTCTTAATGTGGGCAGGTAATCTTTAGTTGTGAATGAGAGCCAAGTGTTTGTGAAATATCCAGAAAATTCTTCAGTAAACCCAAACTTCCTTAAAGAAGTTGATTTATGTGCCTGTCTCAAGGTTCTCAGGATGGGCTCAGTTTTCCCATGGAAGGGCTGGAACCTAAAACACTGGGGCTGAATATTTGCATAGGTGGCTCTGCAGCTGTAGGGACCCCAGTGCCAAGGAAGCTGATCATCACCGCTCAGACTATCAGGGTCTGGAGGAGGCTGTGGGTGACCACAGGAAGGCAGGGGTGGGGTCTGGCACCAGCTGGCGGAAAGGATTCAGGATCAAGCTCTCACATGCTTTTCTGACCAAAAGCCTCTGACAGGGCAGTGATGTGTAATCTCCAGATTATCATCCAGATATCTGGATGTTCTCTATTTTCCAAACGTTTGGGTAATATTCCCAAGTAATAGATGATCTTTTAAGATGGTTTTGACGGTTAGTACTCAACAATAAAAAGACAAATATAGCCCCAGTTAACAAAAGGGCAAAGGATGTGAACATTACTCCAAAGGAAGTATACAAATGCTTAGTAAGCATATGGAAAGATACTCAACATCATTAGTCATCAGGGAAGTGCAAGTCACTACCATAATGAGAGTACTTCATATCCATTAGGAAGGGCTACAATTCCACAGCAATCAGAGCAGAAAAAGAAGTAAAAGGAATCCAGATAGGAAAAGAAGAAGTGAAACTCTCGCTGTTTGCAGATGACATGATCCTCTACATAGAAAACCCTAAAGACTCTACCAGAAAACTACTAGAGCTAATCAACAAATATAGTAAAGTTGCAGGATATAAAATTAACACACAGAAATACCTTGCATTCCTATACACTAACAATGAGAAAACAGAAAGAGAAATTAAGGAAACAATACCATTCACCATTGCAACAAAAAGAATAAAATACTTAGGAGTATATCTACCTAAAGAAACAAAAGACCTATACATAGAAAACTATAAAACATTGATGAAAGAAATCAAAGAGGACACAAACAGATGGAGAAATATACCGTGTTCATGGATTGGAAGAATCAATATTGTCAAGATGGCTATACTACCCAAAGCAATCTATAGATTCAATGCAATCCCTATCAAGCTACCAATGGTATTTTTCACAGAACTAGAACAAATAATTTCACAATTTGTATGGAAATTCAAAACACCTTGAATAGCCAAAGCAATCTTGAGAAAGAAGAATGGAACTGGAGGAATCAACCTGCCTGACTTCAGGCTCTACTACAAAGCCACAGTCATCAAGACAGTATGGTACTGGCACAAAGACAGAAATATAGATCAATGGAACAGAATAGAAAGCCCAGAGATAAATCCACGAACCTATGGACACCTTATCTTCGACAAAGGAGGCAAAGATATACAATGGAAAAAAGACAGCCTCTTTAACTAGTGGTGCTGGGAAAACTGGTCAACCACTTGTAAAAGAATGAAACTAGAACACTTTCTAACACCATACACAAAAATAAACTCAAAATGGATTAAAGATCTAAATGTAAGACCAGAAACTATAAAACTCCTAGAGGTGAACATAGGCAAAACACTCTCTGACATAAATCACAGCAGGATCCTCTATGACCCACCTCCCAGAATATTGGAAATAAAAGCAAAAATAAACAAATGGGACCTAATTAAACTTAAAAGCTTTTGCACAATGAAGGAAACTATAAGCAAGGTGAAAAGACAGCCCTCAGATTGGGAGAAAATAATAGCAAATGAAGCAACAGACAAAGGATTAATC